TGTGGTGATTGTAGCGACTTCGAGTGAGTATACGGGACCACGTGAAAAACACCGATTCTATGGCATGATATTCAATCCATGTATCGCGTACTTAAGTATTGACATCGAATTTATGAAATGTTACATTCATAGAATTAACCCAGAAGGGATGAAAGAGTGAGTCAACCCCCTGAATAGGATTCAAACTTTCAACCTTCCAATCGTTAGGCAAGAACTATCGCATTGCTACCCTGGCTGCAATGATTTGTTGTACACATGCCTTTTGTCAATCTCCTGTTGGATGAAGGCCTCCCCTTGCTACGTCAGTCATGGTAGTTTGTTTGACCATATTTAGCCATGCTGGTCAATCCGAGTTTGTGACGCAAAAGAAGCTCATAAACGAATCATATATCATCACTGATGGTAGTCATGACCGGGAATCGAACTCAGGTCGCGGCAGTTAACAGCACATCGCACAAACAACTTCACCACCAATCCTCCCAATGGGGAAATGTGCTTTTACTCGGTCATATGGTCATCTATCTATCTCATCTATCCAAGGATGCGATAGTTGGTAATTCATAACAGCCAGGATACAGCTCAAAAACTGACAGCACCGTACAGGCAAAAGTTGACATGACCTGTGAGCCAACGGCAGACAGCACTAACGATGACCGCAGTGCCGAGTGCCACTGTGCACTCTGACTCGTGCCTGAAGGGCCCTCATGTGCTGACAAGTGGCCTCCAAATTTTCTGCTGCCAGCTGTAAAACCCTGGCTTCCAACTCAAAAGCCCTGCCATATATATGTACATATATTGAACTTATTTCGCACAGTACGTAGCCAACCATACTAATTGGAGGTGCGGGGGAAGGACAACAAACTAAACACAAAAAGCAGTTCTAAAAAAATGTGATAGTATTGCATATGACTCCGCTCTTTACAAGCAAATAGCAATGGGCCTAAACGAGCTTGCATATCGTCATGAAACTTCAGCATCCTGGTTATATTTCACTGTCAGGTCCGCTACGTTGAATAAAGTTCGCTCCTGTGCTGGTGGACATTATGGCTGAAACAATTCAGCTATTGCAATGATGGCTTCATCTACCGATTATGAGTGTATACATCTCCATATATATAAAAGGCAAAGTTGTGAATGTATGTCTGTTCAAAATGTTTAGCGTACTTCCCGACATGCAACAAACTGGAAATTTGCCATGTGGGTACTTTCCAGACTGTACACCATGCAAAAATTATAAAAATACACTTTTGTTTTTTTTTTGGGGGGGGGGGAGCTCAATAATGTATATATTTTTTGCACGGCAAGTGAGCTGTGACATCAAATCTGTCACGTGACCCGCGCATGTGGAAGCGTAACGCATTGTAGTGAGTGGTTAGCGCTACGCCGCGCTACGAACCCGGCGACCCGAGTTGGATTCCCGCTCACGGCCACCACCGGTGACGATTATTTCAAACGCTTCTGGGCATCCCCTAAGTCGACTCAGCCTCAAACGAGTAACTGCTGTGGTGTGTAAACATTGCCACTGAGGAGACAGGCGGCCGGGCGTGCTGCTGTCACCAACCCCCTCGTGTGCCGTGCCGGCCTTCATTAGGTGATCGCTAACAGCACTTGCCCCCTACAGGCTACACGGGGGATTGTCTTTATCCTGTCTGTGTGGGAGGGGGGGAACTGCGTAGCGATTCGCGCGCTGCGCTACGAACCCAGCCACCCCAGTTCGATTCCCGCTCACGGCCACCACCGGTGACGATTATTTTAACCGGTCCTGGGCCTCCCCTAGGTCGACTCAGGCTCAAACGAGTAACTGGTATGGTGTGTGAACATTGCCACTGGGGAGACAAAGGCGGCCTGGCGTGGTGGATCCAAGTCCCGGGCGAAGCCAGGTAGTACAGCTAGTTGTATATAATTTGCAGAAATAAGTAAAGGCTTTGGGGGCGCTGTTGAAGTGGGAGCAGATCGATGAGGTCGTCATCCTCATCAATAGTCATCAATGTGTCTCGCTGACCATGCATTCAGGTTGCCACATCTGAGAGGTACAGAAAAAACAGCGACATATCATGGGGCAATACCAGAAGAGGGGAGAGCTACTTGTAAAAGCATTGTCTAGAGTGGAGTAACATTATTATTGCACAACTGATAAAACCGGGACATTCAATGTCCCAGGAAGACTGACAAAGATTTCTCAGGATAGCTGTTTGCTCAAAAAAAAAGAATGATCCTGGGAAAACCAGGACAGGCAGCAAGCCTAGTGTGCCAATGAGGCGAGTGTCCTGCATTTTGGCAGCCAGACTCCCAGCGCCAGCAACTTAAAAAAAGGCTGCCGATTATGCGATAAGAAGAATAACAATTACTTTAGCTTAAATAATCAATTATTCGATTGAATCCATGAATCACTCAGGCACTTGTCTTCAGAATGCTTAAGCTGGGAAGGGTTCTGGCAGCACTGACACGGCACCCCAAACCAAAGTCCAACACGCCACCACCCCACCTTATTTGGCCTTCATCGTTGAGCTCGCAATCGGAGAGACTGGCCATGAGATGCGCTCCATTATTTTGTTCCTTCGCGAGCCTATCTCGAATAAAGTAATTCATTCACACTGGGCTCTGTGCCAGTGCATTGTCAACTGCGCTAAAACCCGGCATGCAATCATGAATCTTTCCCTTGTTTTATGGCACCACAAAAGTGTGTAAGACACAAACGTGTAAAGTGGCTAATCCTGTTTGGGCAGTTATTTACCCAAACTGAGCTGAAGCTCATATAAAAGTATTTTTAACGAGGGTTTTAAAAAACGCATAGGGATGGGATTCACTTTGTAAATATAAATCTAGCACTGGGCATCTTTTCAAGAAAATGTATTCTGTGCTGTTTTTTCACATTCCCCCATGAACAAGTCAGGCTTCGTCCTTCCAATATTACTGGCTTCATGCCAGTGTGGGACAAAACGTATATATTTTTTTACCTTGCTCTTTAATTTCCCAAAGCTCCGAAGGATAAAATATGAATTGTAATGACTATCTGAGATGTGACTGCCAAGGACGCAATATCAATAGCACTCAAGCGTGGGTGTGAAAAACTAGTTATATTTAAATCTGCTACTTTTCTAAATAAAAAAACCCTAATTTTAATGGTTTTCCACTGAGTGCCCTCAAAAGTGCCCAAACAGGCCACCCAGACGTTGTCACTTCTTTTATCTTTTGACTTATTTTTGGTTGTAGTACAAAAGTGTCTCAAAATGTGGAAATACAAACCAGGTGTCAAAACAGGATGTGCATCGCATGCCACGCAGACCATGCCACCAGGGACAGAAGGAATGCCAGGCCCTCCTATTGCCTGTTAAATTTATATTTTTTAGTTACTCTGTCAACTTCCCAACCCCCTTTGACTTTCCTCTGCACCAGAAATACTTTCGTTAATGTCAAGTATGGGGCCAACAAACTTGCACGAACGGAGCAGTATTCGAATTTCACATGGTTACTGCGACGACAAAGTGCCCAAGTAGGCAACAAACAAATACTCCTAAAAATAATGTAAAATAAAATATTTTGTTGCACCAAAAGTTTACAATGTTTTCTCAGGAGAAAGCGGGCCCAACGAGGATGTCTACCACCACTGTAAAATAAAAAACAGTGCGTTAGTGTGCTGAAACACACGACTTGGATATCATTGGTTCATGCACATGTACAGCCAATGTATCAATCGACTGCTGGATGAGGGTCTCACCATGCCACATGGATCATGGGGATTGTTTGACCATATTTCACCACACTGGTCAGTGCCGGTTGGTGAAGGCAAGAGGATTATACATGCGAACCTCCACCAGCAGTGCTCAGATCTCCAAGCTGTCAAACCGAAATTTGGCAAGGACACCTCTGTGTGTCACGGTGCCCCTAATGTCAACAACGCAAAAGTAACGACAACTCGTCGTGTGTCAGTGGCATCACGACCTCATGGCTCACAGCAGTCATTATCCTATTTACCGCCACCGCTCAGCGCAAAAGCAAGTTCCCTCGGCTCATAACTCAATGGTGGCAAGAAGCCTGAGATTCATATCAGACTTCCGTACATGCCCACGATAAATCATTTTCATGTATATTGGCCCCAGCTGGCCACATTGCCTTGTCATCGTCATCATCATCTTCATCATCGTCGTTATTTGTGCTATGCCTCCCATGGAGTATGTCTCAAAATTACAGAACAAAGTTTTCATTTTTGATAATTACTCGGAAAGGAAGGGATTGCAGAACTGTAACTATCAAAACCCATGCAGTAGAGCCAACATATACGACAATTAAACAATAAACTAGACTGAAGAGCTAAATTGTGCTTGACACTACTCTCATTTTCCCATCCATGTGGCTATAACCAATTCGGCACGATCATTTTCGCACCGTTGTGGTAAAAGCGCCACGCCTACTACATGTGACCATGCAGCTACTCTGCAAAGTCGTCCATATTGTTTGTCGAGGACTGCCCCTTTAGTTACACATTTGTTTAACCAGAGTGAAAACTCTAAGAGACCAGGAGAGAGACTCAATTGCAAGAGTGACCTGACCACCACATATGACAAAAGCAAATAACATGAAACCAAAGTAAAACAATTAGAACAAAAATATACGCATAAGAAATTAGAGCAAAAACAACTACATTACAAAAAAATCTAAACAGTGCACAAACATAAATCAATAACAAACAAGATAATTTCCTGCAACGAAATTTGGCTTGGCCGAATTACTTTTGAAAACAAGTTGAGCTGCAAAAACATAAACATGGATTTTGGGTAATTATTGCACTTATTTGGAAACAGACAGGGATATATGGCATATACAACTGCGCGTCGCTAGGTGGAATCAATTGCCAGATTGAACTCGATGACGTGGCCATCAAGCGGTTGGGCGATTTGGATATCGACCCGTGTTAGCAACGCGTAAGATGACGAAAGGTGCGTCGCGGAAACAAATCAAGTGAACGGCAGGTCTATGCTTCCGTATGTTTAGCTCGTTACCAGCAACGTCTCGCTGCGCTTGAGAACAGAGTAGAGAAAGGCAGGACACGGGCAGGTGAGGCACGGTGCCAGGCACGTGTACGTTCTCCCCGAGCTTCCCACCACCTGTAAGTACGAGCGTCGGGGCAAGAAGTCCCAGGTGAGCTCTGCCGGCATGTATAATGCTGATTTATCAGCAAACATAGTGTGTGTGATATTACGAAAATAAATCAATAAATGGGGAATGGTCTGTTTTCACAGACAAATGTTTTCCAGCGGCATATGTTCGAATTTGGCAAAAACCCTGCGCCAGGTTTAGACTTTATTTGATTAAGTAGTGGCCTTAGTAGGTGCTTACTCACAGCCCGCATAAGTGCTCACGAACAGCCCCTGCCCCAACAGCCTATGAAGGCTATACAGGGGATCTTTTCCTTTGTTGTGTGCGAGTGTAGACAGTCTACCAGTCACTCAGCCGATCGGTGTAAACCTGGTAGGCCGTGCGGCCGCTTGGAGTCGTGATGTGCGACACGTTGCGCCGATCGGTCAAATCCAGGGCTTGCAGAGCGACGGTGCCGAACACGAAGCTCAGACTGTGTCCCCAGATATCAAATCACCACACACGAAGGAGACGACATTGAAGAGATAATACAAATGGGAGGATAAAAAAAGGTGAACAAAATAATTGATCCTAGGATCGAATGGGCGACCCTGGATCTTGACAATTCGTCGAATCACCAGTAGTTGAATTCACTGCGTAGGTGTGTCGCTGTTGACCTGTATAGCTCTCTGATGAGCTTATGGGTTGTATTAAGTTCGGGAGCTTCTTGTAAAAATATATATTTAATTTCCTGAAGAATCTTCCAGCATATGGAGCGAAACGTCGGACATCAAGTCGAACAATACACGGTACAACCTGTAAAACACAATGGAGCTGTACCACCCAACTGTGAACACCTTTGCAGTAAAAATGTGTTTATTTCACCAATGCTGTCATATTTTTCGGTGAATCGGTACACGCTTTTATTTTTTCAGCATATATTAATTACATACAAGCAGAGCAAGCTGTAATACAGTATTGCTGTCAGCATGTTTTGCTACAGGACAAGTTTGAATGTATTCTGAGCTTTGAATCCAGGTGGCACCCAGTAATGCCGTGTGGTATTTGCGAAGCACGTTTCTTTGTCGCAAAGTTGACATGAACTATATAAAATCACACAAGAGTGGAAATATGATGCACAAACACAACTTGATAGGTATTTTTTTGTATGGGTTGAGTGTCCGTGTTGCGTTGAATAAACACTCACCCACTGAGCAGGTCATCAGACACTGGAAGACAAAACCCACATAGCACACAATGTTAAACAAGTTAATTGGCCATGACTGTAAAATAAACAAAGTCTGAAATAAGGCGTCTTTGAGCTACAATTACTTCTAAAAGGGTATTGTTTGTATGCTACACGACTTATTTCTTTAAATTAGAATGCTTATTTTAAACTACCGAGTTTCTGGGAGGCTCAACGGTAGAGGAGACACTTGGTGAGCTGGCAGCTGCTCACTCTGGCAAACCCGCCCACTTTTACGTGAGCCACGCCCACTCAATCACTAGCCCCTCTGCACAGTGAGTGGCCTCCTCACTCTTTCTGACATCGGCCCCGTCCACTCATCTGCCAGCGCCACCCACTACCCAGGGTAGCCCCCACGCTATTTCCATAGAACCAGTCGAGTACGAACACATCAAGTTTTAAACCGGGACAAAATCCCAACTTTCGAAAAATGGTTCGGTATAAAGTAACCAGGACAGCCAGCCTTCCTGAAACCGGGTTTTACCTGGCCAAACCACGACATTTTAGAACCTTTAACATGTATTGCCTCGCACTTCACGAGTGTGCAGCAACAGGCCTCATATTTATTGTATCAATTTCAACTGAATAAAAAATGAACATGCCTTTTTGCTGGAGTTTGTCACTTTAAAATCGGAGCTGTAGCTGAACGGTAATTATTGCTTTAATGGGCTGCTCAAGAGCACCAGATTGCCCAAACTCGCTTAGGAGGTGAGTCAACAGGATCATTTATTGTGTCAGATAAAGGGGCAGGCTTCTGGTTCCAGACATTAACTCAATAATAGCAAAAGCCCTTGTGTCCTCCTGTCCATTTGTGATGATAGGGGCTAGATTCCCCAAATTCCCACCTCTGCCTTCCTGCTTATCAGCTCCGCGTGCTCCAGTTGTACAATGGCTAAAGTGGCTTTTAAACAATCGTAAATTATTAACACTGCAGTATTAAAGTTATTGTTACTGTATTACCTCACCATGGAGTTCAATGCTTTTTTGACGTGTTTTTTATCCCATTAAAATGTATGTATTTTGTAAAATCTTTGTGTCTTTCTGCCTGCTTTAAAATATGGATTATTTTCAAGGTGACATTTTTTACAATATTGCAATCGTTTTTGTGAGAAGTTAAAACACAGTGCAACCCTGGGTCTGAAATGAGTTTCTGATAAGGCTCTACTCCAAGATTACTCAGCCTAAATGAGTATCAGTTAAAATATTTTTTCAGGGAATGGCTAATATTCATATTACAGTTAACTCTTCATAATCCAGAGGCAAATTATATCCGGTTGAGGATGAACCAAGGTTGAAAAAAAATACGTAAACATCTGTACATGGTGGCGCACACCTGTAATTCAGCACTCTGGGCATGAAAGCGTAATACGCTGGCTTGCCAACAGAATGCAGTACAGCAGAGTGTGGACTGATATCATCTGTCCCTTACGTATAGGATTGAGTGTTGCCCCCTCGCCCGCGTGGAGTTTCTCCGAGTGCTCCGGTTTCCTCCCACATGCATAAACACTCACTAATTTCCTGAAACCATCTTAATATATAGAGTACTGCAAAGCAATTGTTGGCACCAGCTTACCACCTGGCAGCCTTCCAGCTTGCATATATGGTTGCTCAGCGATTGTGACATGCAATTTGCATGAAAGACGCAATATTAAATGAATCCTTACTCTAAAAAATAGATATAGAATTATTAGCTGCTGCTCATTCTTGACTCCCGGTGCCCATGTGACTGCAAACACATCAGCCAATAGATCGATTACTTAAAGAAATAATAAAAAAGCAAGCGACACATTCTATATCTTAACTCTCATTCTATTTATATATTCTCATTTAAATAGTTAGCGTTATCTGTGGGTTTTTTTTATATCAGGGCTATGCCTTCTCCCTTCCCTTTGTCCAGCATAATCTCGAGCTGACTCTCAGTGTATGGTCAGGGTCAATACAACCCCAGACAATGAAGGCTCAAGCCACCTGACTCACACTTGTTATTTTTGCCGCCTAACAGACCTATCTGGAACAAACGCCCCAGGTTGACCATGCACTGTTACCACGGACACTGGGGGGGGGGTCAGAAACGCAGGGATTATATGATCACGAGCACAGGCACATGCATTTCCTAAAGCGACTACAGGATTGGATCATCCGTATAAATCCCACATGTGGTCATTCAGCTGAGCAACTGTCGACAGAGAGGTGACCGGCTGGGGTAGGGGTTGCTTGTTCATGCAATGTGGGAATCCTATGACATGTATGCAAGGTATGATGGGAGTCGTGCCTTCATGCTGTTTGTGAACAGCACCACCTTTCTGTGTTATTATATCTATTTGTTAACGTGCCTGCACGTATTTTCTTGTTGTGATGGGTTTTCTCATCATTGACAGAACGTGTTGCGATTGAAGGTTTCACATTGCAGTTAACGAATCGCAACTTGCGGAAACCACAACAGCCTTGCAGGTGCTGCACAGGCGTGAAACAGTAACACTCATCTTCACTGAACTGTCGAGAAAGTTTGCTTTCTATTCTCAGCACTAATCCCACCCGAAGAAATTAGTTTTGTCCCCACACAAACTTAAGAGAAGCCGCGAAATGCTCAACAGTGCAGGGGAAACAAACACTCCACACAGCTACGTCAGATCAACATAACTTAATATGAAATATGATTGCCCACGGAAGAGTTTTTTTTTTCCCACCAGAAGATGTTTAAAATGCAGCATAAGCAAGAGCGTGCAAAGTATGAGGGATGAACAGTTATTCTTCTTGCTGGGCTTATTGTGAAATGCGTTTGGCATCGGACAGTAGTTAGGAGGCCACAATCGTATAAAGTTCACCCCGATTGCTTATGCCAGTCGATAGGATTGCACTATTGTTATTTGGTCACAGTACATAATCGTGCATCATGGGGTGGAGCAGTGGCACAGTGGTTTGCACACTGCACTCCAAGCTCGGCGAGTCTCGGCCATGGCTATGCATGTATGTTGAACTTCTTTCGCACCATACGTAGCCAACCGTGCTCATCGGAGGTGCGGCTAGCATCGATGGCAAGTGACGTATGCACCAGCCCCCATTGACCCGCGTGGTGACTGTTGTTGGGAAATTAGTTTCAGGTCTATTTTGTTTGACCAGGTGAGAACTCAAGAGATCAGGAGGGAGACTCATTTGCAAGCGTGATCTGGGTCACTACAAATGACAAAAAAAAAGTACAGCAATTAAGCAACTAGCAAATCAAAACAAAAATCGAATAAAAACTAGTCACATGAGGAAGTCAAAATATTGCAAACACAAATCAATGTTAAATCAAAGCTAAATATTAAATTCCCTGCAGTGCAAATCCGCTTGGGCAGATTACTTTCAGATTGGTCAAAGCACAAATTACACAAATAAGCTACAGAAACATTAAACAGATCTATAGGTTGATTATTTTACTAATATGTAAACAAAGAAGGATATACATCAAAAGCAATTGCAAATGAAGTTAACAAAGAATGAACATCAAATTGTGATTGAGAAGAGTGACCCATGAGATTTTTGAAGTCATAGAATCTTTACTTTTATTTAGCGGACCCCTCAAAAACATTTTTAGGGCACCTCCCCTCATCAAGTTGGGAAATCGAAACTACCATTGGAGGCCACGGCCCAGTGTGCCCTCAGTTTGAACCTGACCTTTGCCCTCCGTTTGAAAGCTCCTGTGGATCTCGGCCAGCAGCTGCTCCGCCACGGCCGGCAAAACGCTCACCATCGTTTCCTTGCCAGACGTCCCGCCGCTGTGGCAGAGAGAAAGACTGAACTCAAACCAGATGCAGTGCCCCGATCCTTGGACCAGCCTGACGTTTGGATGAGGGGGGGCCCTAGGGCTGTTATAATTTTGGGTCCCCCCCCCTCTTTGTATATTCAATTCCTTCCCTTTACTGTTTTACTACCGACCATGCCCGGTGCCAAACACGTCATTATTTCTTCATCGTTATCGTTATCATCATCAATCATGGTCAATCCACTGCTGGATGAGGGCTTACCCAAGCTGCTGCCACATATCACGATCCTGAAATGTATAAATCCACCAAGCACCTACACAGGAACTGATGTCATTGCTCCATCTCGTTATGCCTATACCTTAATTATTTAAGTTATAGTTTTTTATGTGATATACTAATTGTAAAGTTCAATCAAAGTTAAAACAGAAAAACAACTTGTAGTAATTCACAGAGATGCTATGGCTTTAACTACAAATTTACCTTTCTAATCTATCATAGTGCAACTGGACTGCATTTCAAAGCCGTTTACTATCTATTTTTGGGGTTCGTAAAATCTGACACGATGCTACAAGCAAGATCCTGACACTTTCTTTGGACACGTGTGTTCATTCATTCATCTGAAAACGCATATCGGGGCCCATTTCATGCGCCGTTACTGAAAGGCTCCCGTTTGTACAATATTTAGTAAAACGAGCCGACGACAATGGTGAGGATTGCGGTGAATCGCCGTAGCAATGCGATGGACCCTAGCGATTTTGCTCTATATGTGAATCTGGCCCGCTGGGTACGTGCGTCAGGTTGTCTGTCAGTGCGATCTACGTCAAGAAGTGCAGCATCAAGCTCCCACTTTATAAAAAAGTCACTGCACCTCGATACAATATTATATATACACAATATATGGATTCAAAACATATATCAAGTTAACATTCAGCCTGTGTTCATGAGCGTGCATTCATCGAGTTTCCTTGTTTCAAAATCCTGCACCTTACATCTTAGCCTGGCACGTGTTATTCGCTGACACAAATTCTGTACCCTTTAATCACGTTGAGTTATGTGTGCAAGTTGTGTACTGTACACAACTTGATTGTGGTTTATAACAAGACCTTAACATGTTTTCTATTAACTCATTTTTTTTACACAAAAACATTTAAGCGTAGCGTGCATGTGTGTGTGTGGGCGATGGGATTGGCACCGAAACGGGCCAACGAACGAGGTTCACTGTCTGTGCGTCGGATTTTGTTTGCATCAAAACACGAAGGCCGTCAAGTGGCCTATGTATATTTGTCAAAGCCTGGGTCAGGCAGCAGACACGTTAAGATAATTTCCAGGAATGTTTGATGGCTGCGTATGTGACTTGATGCTTGTTTCCACTGGTAATAGCTGCTCAGTCAGAGGAGGAGTTGGAGACGCTGCTGCTGAGACTGGAGCGTGCCACTAAGAGGTGGGGCCTTACCATCAGCCCCACCAAAACTAAGCACCTGCCTGGGTATTTTGTACCATCGGACACTCCACCCCCACAACTCCCAATCGGTGATGGGGCAGTTGTGGAGAGAGTGGAGAGTTTGCCATACCTGGGTAGTGTGCTTATGACTGGCTCCAGTTTAACAGCAGAGGTCTCACTCCGAATCAGTCGAGCGGCAATATCTTTTCATCGGTTGCGTAACGCTGTGTGGAAGCTACCTAGTCTGTCGCTCCGCACTAAGCTTCAGGTCTTCTCGGCCACGGTCATTCCCTCCCTTCTCTACGCTTGCGAAACGTGGACCCCCCTAATGGAACATCTTCGCCGGTTAGAAACATTTAGGCTGGCCTGCCTACGATCCATCCTGGGTTTAACCAGACTGGATTGTGTGAGGAGCTCACAAATCCTTGAAAGATCTGGGCAAGGTCCCATCGGTGAGCTCCTCCGGCGGGCAAGGCTGCGATGGCTGGGTCATGTAGCCCGCATGCCCAGCCAACGCATGCCGAAACAGCTTTTGTTCGGCCGGATTGAGGGGGCTAAGCGGGCGCGGCACGGGCTAGAGAAGAGATGGAGTGATGTGGTACAGGAGGACGTGGAGTTGAGTGGACTTGCCGATGACTGGTACCAGCGGTGTCAAGATCGACCTCTGTGGAGGAGGCTCGTGAAGGATGCTACTGGGCAGTTGGAGGTAGTCGCCCTCCAACAACGCAGGGCGGAGGAGCGACGCTCACAACAACGAGCGGAGCGCCGGGTGGCTAAAGCACAGCAGGTTGGCACAGTAGGGGGCACAGGTGGTGCATCAGCCAGTCATCTCAGTCAGTCGACCCGTGGCACCTGGGTCTGCCCCGTGACCTCCTGCCAGCGGGCGTTCGACACTTCACGTGGCCTCAGGGTGCACATAGCCTGGCACAAGCGTCGTGGTGACGTCACCGCCACTTAGTGGCGAATGGCGGTTGTTGTTGTTGTTTCCACTGCACGGCTGACCAAGAGATAAGCTTTAATCCGAACACTGCCCTTCCCTAAAGCGTCAACTCAATACCAATTCTGTCTGCTTCTCTCTCTCTCTCGGTGCACTTGTACTAACATACCAGAGCATCTGAATCGAGCAGGGCAAGGAAACTCGCCGATGCACAACTTGCAATGTGAATCGCGAGAATGCTGCCAATGTCTAGAAGTATTTAATTCCACACACGTTCTATTTTAAGTTGGTAGAGATTGCGGTTTTAGACAGTCGCTGGGGTAGTGCATAAACTGTGAACCAGAACCACTTTTCGGCTTCTTACGAATGGTACGCTTCACTTACAAAAGCCAACTCGGTTACTCTACGCGGCAGTTCATGAGGTGCCCTAAACCGCCAAATCGGGTGGGCGCCCCCTGCTGAAATAACAAGCCGCATTAAGTAGGAATAGGTTTTACCCTTTTAACTGGCACAAAAACTGACCCCTTTATTCAAGGCATCATGTTTGCAATAACCACAACACAAGCAGTCAAAATGCAAACAAAAAAGACAACTCTGATAATAATATGCACTGTCCTTGAATTTGATTGGTCCACACCCGAGACAGCTTTTCTTAGAGCCTAGTCTCCGCATTAACTTTTACACTCGCCATCACCCAGTTTATACTCCCAGAACTTGTGATAGCATGAAACACACACCAATTGTTTTAGGAGGCAGAGCCGTATACAGCTGTCCCTTGTTCAGGTCCAGGATATCAAGCCCTTCCTTTTGTATCCTCCGCTTGTGACTGCTTATTTCTCTCTATAAAACAAGTTCTCCCATTTATATAAATTTATTGAGATGTGGTTGCATTTATATGCTACGTAAATTCAAACTGTGTTGTAACTGTATGCGGATAGTTAGATTATAATCATTAGATTCCACACCAGATGTTGGCTTTTCACTGTTCTACCCTTGTACCCGGAATCTCAAATTTCTGGCTCAGTGCCCTTGCAATGCAATGGTTATTCAAAGAATATGGTGCACTGCAATTCATTAATTACATTAAATGAAAGCAATAATTAATTATTAAATTTGGTGACCAAATATGGCTTTAATGTTTGCACATAAAAACGTTTACATGAAAGGGTGATACGTTACAACCTTAAACACTTAGCCATGGAATTTTTTTAATCTAACGATGTAATTAACAACATGTTATAGGTTAAAAATACGTTTCTCATTGGGATTATGGTAAAAACACTTGGCATGGTGAAACATGCTTGTAATCCAGCACTTTGGAGGCTAGGGTTGGTGAATTACAGATGTGTGAAGCTTTCAAATTCACTGGGCTGTGAGGTGGCCTAGAAATGGGAGTACAGAATATGAATTGAATCCATCTGTGCAGAGCTTTGAATGTTATCCCTCTCTGTTCTCTGGTTTCCTCTCACTTATGAAACACTCGCGATTTGCATTGCCAAAACTTGCCACTTAAATGCAACAGGACCATCCTTAAAAATGTTAAGCCTGCTTAAGGCTTTCCTGAATAAACCAACAGCATTTTTATTCTTATAAACTGGTAAGATACTCCTGACCAAAACATAGTTTTGCTTTGTAAACACGTCTAAACGATTGTTATAAAAAAATCTACATTTTTTTAATTTACAACACGGCATTTGTTTAAAACCATTTTTTTCCCACCCACCCACCATGGGATACCAACGTGGCTTTTCAAAGTGCAGGCGTGTTGAACAAGCCGGCCACCCGTGGTTCAGGTTTCATGGTGCCAAGGACCCCAGGGCACAGTACGGTAGTGAACCAGGGTGGGGTGGTGGGAACCCAAACATCCCGACCACATCGTAACAGGCCTCCAACCCCATCAAAGCACTGCCCATTTGACCCTCCTCCTCCCAGCCAGTGGCGGCTGGCCTTTAGCGGGCCAGTGTGGCCAGGTCCCACTACTGGACATCTGTCAAAAAGAGCTTCATATCTCATCGGATTTCTCCAGGATAAAGAGATTGTCATTCTGAAAAGATAAAACAAATGTTTAAAATACTCACCTGCTCATTATTAAGATTATAAACTGCATCTGCTTCCTTCCTCCACAACCTCCCCTCCCACACGGGTTTCCGTGCACCACCAACATATTTATTATTTCCTGACTGCTCCCAACCACTGCCCTTGTCTCATTCCAACCGCTAGGGATATAAGGGGTCATCAATACTTGCCCAGAAATTCTTACGTTCATTATACACGTATTAAGTAACGCATGTAAGAATATATTATTCCCCAATCGTATAAACTATACAGGTACGGTTTGTGAAAAACCCTGCAACTGCAATGGGTTTTATATGCCGTCGCCCAAAAAATATTTTATACGTAAATCAGTTAATGACCCACAAATCGTCGAAATTTTTGAATTACGGAGCGAGTGAATGATTCCATCCCCAACAACCACCCAAACTTGACAACCCCACATCGACTTCCTTTTTATAACCTTGCCTCCAAATACTCCCCACCGCTCCACAATAAATAAAACTGGGCTTCCATATAGATACATGGCCAGTGGCGTAGCTACACGGAGCGTGCAGGCGGTGCAACTGCACTGAGGCCCAA